GTTAAGGAAATACAGTAGCCTGTGCAATATGCTTGTGTAAGGTGCCAAGCTCAAGTGTTAAGTATTTGGAAAACAAGCCTAACCAGTCTAACAGGGTCCACTTAGAGAAAAAACAGGTATTTAGTCAGCTGGGCAATACTATAATCAGCATAATGAGTTTGGTTGGCCCTGATGGAATGGAATAGCATCACAGAACTACAGGGATTGAGTGTAGGGATTAACAAATTAATTCAACGCTTCATTTTATACACGGGGAAACAAAGGCCCCAGGAGGTGAGGTTATGTGCTCAAGGAATAAAGGGAGGAGCTAAGAGTAGAGCAGAGGGCTTCGGACTTCCAGGCCTCTGCCAAGGTGTCTGTTGTTGTCAGCTGCTGTCAATTGACCTCACACAGTGGGACGAAAGGCGGTTCCGTGCTGCCATCTCCGCCATCCCTCACGGATGGGCTCCTGGCGTCCACAGGTTTCTCATTGGCTGCTTGTAAATTGCTAAGCGTTTCTCCCTGTGCTGGGTTAGTCTGGAAGCCTCCTCCGGCCTGTGCGGCACCGCAGCACCGCTCCTCAGAAAGACAAGCCCGAGACAACCCAGGATGGCCTCCCCGGCTCACAGTTGGAATCCCAGGCACCGCAGAAGGCTGCAAAGCAGCTTCTCTAATTGCGAGGTGGTGACGCCTGCTGATGCGGAGCATCAGCACCTGGCAGGAGTGGAGCAATTTGAGGAGGGTGGGGACGCAGAGCCAGCAGGCCCTGAGTCACAAGGAGACACACCGGAAACACAGCACCAGACTCCAGATAAGCGTATTGTCCCTCTCGTGTCCATTCGTTATGTAGGTGGACGATAAGCGGGAAGCGAACGTTTACTGCACATGTACCAGGAGCGAAGTGTCCGATCCAGCCCACCCAGCTCCTCGTCCTATGAGCTTGGCATTAAGGGATCCCCTTGGGTCGGACCGGAAGGAAGTGGAGTGAGGGGCCCGGTGCGCCCCCTGGTGGCGCCGAGAGAGAACGCGCGCGTGGGCGGAGCCCACCACGTGCCACGCTGGCGTGGGTGTTGGGCATTTCTCCGGCAGTGCTCAGGGCAGGCCTCCTGTTGCTGAGAGCGTGCTCACCAGGAAACGCGGGGCTATGGCCTCCAGCCTCCGTCTTACTTCTGCTTCTCCTTGTGGCAATGATCCGAGTTCGGAAAGCCTTTCTGACTTGTTTGTCCAGGGCGCACACAGCACACAGCTCCCTCACTAGGCCCGTTGTGCGCGCCCTGCCGCCTGCGGAGGGCCTCCGGCACCCACACTTCGGAGTGCCGGGCATCTGCTTCCTTCCGAAATGAGAAATGTCATAACGGAGGGGAAGTGCTTCTGTGCGGCCACGAATCCTGTCGTCGGTGGACTTGGCAAAACAGACAAATAACCGTAGTAACACGACAACAAAAAGCAGCCGCTGAATTTTCCTTTTTTTCTTTTTCTTTCTAAACTTCCGCGGATGCAAATAATACGAAATGGTTCCAGCTTGGCCTATATAAAGACGAGCGGCCACAAAGAAGCCCCTTCACAAAGCTGGGGGAGTTGGGCGTGTTTTATTAGTCACGGTTTTGACTGTGAGGACTTCTTGTGGTGGCTCGTTTTGGATTTGGAGCGTGGCTGACCAACAGCTCTCGGTGGGGTTGCCAGACCAAAATGAGCCAGAGAGCAGGGTTTGCGTGTGTGTTTTTGTTCAGTGTTACCTGTGGCCCACACATAATGAGGGAACCCTGGTAGTTCAGGGGGAGAAAGACAAGTTTTCTACTTCCGGAAAGAGGTAGTCCCCAAAACCTGCAGGACCAGGTCTACCCTGTCGTGTTGGGATCAGTTGGAATTGGCTTGATGGCGGGTTTTATTTATTTATTTTTGAGTGTGGGTGGTGTAATGGATTCTGCATTGGGCTGCTAACCATAATGTCAGCAGTTTGAACCCACTATGTACTTTAGTGGAGAAAGACAAGATTGTCTACTCCTGTAAAGATTTATAGTCTCAGAAATCCTAGGGGAAAATCCTCAGGAATTATAGGCGAGCTAAGAACTGGTAATAAGTCTATCATACTCACAAATCACAGTTCTGTTCCTTGCTATGGGCTCCCCGTGAGTTGGGATGGATTTGATAGCAGTGGGCTTGGTTTTGGCAGCACATCCTTTGATATCATGCTGCTTCAGAGTGATCATGCCTTTCACAAACTCTGTTACAGTCAGAAGCTTCACCAGGTGTGAAGTTGGGTTTCCATAACTAAGAAAACTTCATGATGTGCTATACATCTAATTTTCTGTTGGTGCCCTGGTGATTTTCTATATGGGTGTCCTCTGAGTTACTGCCACCCCCCAATCCCCCCATAGTCTAGTCCACCGGGCAGAGGCTGGTCCCATCACCTTCGCTCAGCTCAGACAAACCCTCGAGCAGAGAAGTGTGAAGGAAGACTAAACCAGCCTATCTTTCAGATCCCTGTTGAGGACATTTCCGGGGGAAGCAATCTTTTGAGAAGAGAATCTTTGGTTTTACCAGTCACTAACTTATGAAAAGAACAACCAAGAGCCAAGAACTGAGCTGGGCTACTATGTAATATTCACAGATTATAGTTGTGAGAATGGTCCTCTCATTAAAAGTGGCTTGATTTTAAAATAAAATTAAAACTGTCCTTTTAGTTTCAAAAAGAGTCAACCTAATTATGGTAGACATGTATCATTGTCTTTTGTTTTCCAAACCAGTAGCCGTACACTATTTATTATTAAGCTCTTGATGCGGAAGCATATAAACCAATGAAGAAGATATTTGCCAATTGATTGTTCAATTAATCAGATGGTGGCAAAGTCTTAAACTGAGCATGACAACCGCTAGTGAGCCTGGGTAAATGCCATCCCTCGGGGCGCTCCTTACAGACCCAGCTTGGTTCTTCTCCAATGTCTTCTCTTGGAGTTGTACCTGATCTTATTACCAGTTTTTATTTGAATCCATTGGGTGATTCTGCTTTTGTTTCTTGGTCAGGACTCTCTTGATCCTGAAAATTGAGAGGAGAGTTGTTTTTCGTTGTTCTCAGTGGGTTGTGACTCATAGCAACCCTATGTACTACAGAAGGAAACCCTGCCGGGTTCTGCACCACACTCACAATCGTTCTGATGTTTGAGCCCATTGTTGCAGCCACTGTGTCAATCCATCTTGCCCAGGACATTCCCCTTTTTTACTGCTCCCTCCACTTTACCAAGCGTGATGTCATTCTGCAGGAACTGGTCTCTCCTGATAGCATGGCCAAAGTCCTTGAGAGGAGATCTTGCCATCCTTGCTTCTCAGGAGCATTCTGATTGTACTTCTGCCAAGACAGATTTGGCAGTCCATGGTACTTTCAATATTCCTTGCCAGCACCACAGTTAAAAATGCATCGATTCTTCCTCAGTCTTCCTTGTGCAATACCCAACTTTCACGTGCAGATGAGGTCTTGGGTAGCATGTTTACCCAATGCAATGTATCCTTTGGTTTCTTGACTGCTGCTTCCATGAGCATTGGTTGTGGATGCAAACAACATGAAATCCTTAACAACATCAATCTTTTCTCCACTTATCATGGTGTTACCCACTGGTCCAGTTGTGAGGATTTTGGTTTTCCTTACATTGAGTTGTCATCCATCCTGAAGGCTACAATCCTTGATCTGCATCATCAAGTGCTTCAAGTCCTCCTCACTGTCCAAAGTGAGGTCATATCATCTGCACATTGTAGGTTGTTAATAAGCCTTCCTCCAATCCTGATACCAAGATCTTCATAGTCAGTTCTCTGATTATTTGATTAACGTACAGGTTGAATAAGTATAGTGAGAGGATACCACCCTGACACACACTTTTTAAAATGCTAAACCTTGCAGTATTCCCTTGTTCTGTTCACAATTGCTTCCTGATCTATACACAGGTCCCACATGGGCCCAATGAAGTATCTTGGAATTCCAGTTCCTCTTAAGGATATGAATTGTTTGTTATACATACAGTTGAATGATTGTGCATAGTCAATAAAACACAAGTAAACATCAACCAAGATCCATTTGAAATTATCAATGGTATAATTTGCTCTATGACCTCTTCTGAATCTAGCCTGAACCTCTGGATTTCTACTTCGTGTCTTCCAACTTCCGATCACTAATTGATGTTCGCAGCTGTTTCTTCTCATTTTGAGTCATGCCCCATCAGCACATGGAGGTTCTGAAGGCTTCATTTCCACAGGCTTTCCATTTATGTAGACATCTCTTCTACTAGACATTGTGTGTGCATGCGCGTGCTTAAGAGAGAAAGAGGCAGAGGAAGCAAGGGGTCATTTCTTAAAAACCAATGACTGCCGGGATCTAACCCCTCATGCTAACCCTATCAGAAGATTTCACAGCCATTACTCTGACGCTTCTGCTTTGTTGCTCATCAAATTCATAATTCCAAAAGGGTTTATTTAACTTGGTGGTTTAATGAGGTACACATTGGGCTGCTAACCAAAAGGCCAGCAGTTTGAAACCACCAGTCACTCCGAGGGTATAAGACGAGGTTTTCTATTTTCATAAAGAGTTACAAACTTGGACACCCACAGGGGCAATTGTGCCCTGCCCTGTAGGATTGCTATGAGTCTGATTCGTCTTGATGGCAGTGAGCTGGGGTTTTTTTTTTGTTTGTTTGATTTTTGTTGGGGCGGGTGTTGTTTTTTTGAGAAGAGATATAATGAAAGCCATGAGAACTTGGGAAAATTAAAAAAAAATACCGCTCACCTCAAAACCTTTTCTAATGTGTCTCCATTCAAATAGTACTTTTTTAATACAAAGATGAGTCATGTTGTAGCTCAAAGAGTTCTAGGTTTTGTACAAGGGTACAGATCAGAGCTGGAAACACAGGGAATCCAGGACACATAACCCCCTCAGGACCAATATTGAGAGTAGCCACACCAGGAGGGGAAGGGGAAGGTGGGGGGAGGAAGGGGGGGCCAATCACAATGATCTACATAGAACCCCATCCCAGGGGGATGGACAACAGAAAAGTGGGTGAAGAGAGACATCTGTCAGTGTAAGAAATGAAAAAATAACAATAATTTATAAATTATTAAGGGTTCAAGAGGGAGGCAAGCTTGTGGGGGGAGGGGGAAATTGAGAAGCCAATACCAAGGGCTCAAGTAGAAAGAAAATGTTTTGAGAATGATGATGGCAACAAATGTACAAATGTGCTTGACACGATGGATGGATGGATGGTAATAAGAGGTGTAAGAGCCAATAAAATAATTTTTTAAAAAGAGAAATAAATACTAAAAACATGATGAGAGAAAAAAAAGAAATGTTCACATGCTACAATAGTGTTCGAGTTCATTGTTTTCTAGGAGATTGTTTAATTTGCTACTGTCTTATTACTATTCCTGAGCTATACCTGTTCTTTTCTATTACCATTATTAGTATTCTGTAGTACCTGAGTAGTGCATATGGTTATTGTGCTCAGCTGTTAACCAAAATGTTGGCTGTTCAGATCCACCCAGTGGGTCCTCAAAAGGCCTAGAAACCTCCACCTGAAACAGGACCCTTCAGAAACCCTCTGGAGTATCATTTTGTTCTGACAACATACATGGGGCCACCAGGGGCCAAGATGACAAGACTGCAGCAGCTGGGCTTTTATTCGTACTCCAGAGGGGAGACAGCATCTGCTCCACCCTCTCCTTCCCTGACTGTAGAACCATATTCCTAAATGCCCCCTCCACACTTCCGTGTTGCTTGCTGCCCAAAAAGGGAACAAGTAAGGCGACATGGCCACTGGCAGACATATTGTATGTAGGAGCGATGAGGACGAGCAGAGAGTTAAAACTGAGAAGAGTCTGAAGTAGTGTAGTTGGGGTCAGAGGGGGGGGACTCCTGAGATGGAAAAAGTCCCTGATGGACTGGGAGTGAATGTGCTTGTTCAGAGAAGGGAACCCTGTCAGAGCTCTCACCCTTGTCTGTCAAAATCAGACAACACTGAGCCACGTATGAGGACATGTCTGACAAGATGAGCTTTGACCAAGTCACTGAAGCCTTGTTTCAAAACCACTGTAAACGGTCTGCCTGGAAAATTATGGTGAGTTAGGGTTTTTTTTGTGTGCTAACCTGGTACCCGTAAGAAGTAGCCTTTCAATTAAGTCACAGTCTGATGGTACTTCCTAGTGGGCATGGTCTTCTCATGAGGAGGATCCTGGAAACCTCTCTCTCTCTCTGCCTTCACCTTCCTGCTGTCGAGCCACTCAGAAACTTGCTGGAGACCTGTGGGAGCCCTGGAGATGCATCCACTGCCATTGGATCCACAAGACTTTGCATCCACTGCCCTGTGATATCCCTACTTTCTGCATCATTGAATGTGGCTGTATGAGTCTGAAGGGGGATTTATGGACTAGTATTGGGCTTATGAAGTACAAGTGGACTGATGAACTTGACTCTGGACTGGGTTGGGATGTTTGCTCAATATATAATTACTTGCTGATATAAAGTTCTCTCTTCCACATATACGAGTGTCTCTGGATTTGTTTCTCTAGTCTACCCAGCCTAACACAGTTATCATTGAGTTGAATATTGTGGTAGTTACATAATCTGGTGTCAATTTGAGACTTTAGAGGATTGAGACTTTAGGTGAAGGGGTAGAGTCTAGTCTGTCAATCGGGTCATACCCAATAAGGGCTTTTGTACACACATGGCCTTCTCCCGAGGATTCTGGGAACTCTTGTATTTCCTCCTTCAGAGGCAGGAGATACACACACACTCTCTCTCTTGACTCACTCCCTGAGAGACATCCTTGAGGAGAAGCCACATGGACCTACCCTGATGCAGTCAGTGCCCTAAGCTGGAGGAACCCCTGCCAGCCCTGAGATACTTACAATGCCACTGGATCCACAGGACTCACCACTCACTAGCTTGTGATCTTCCTGCATTCAGCATCATTGCATGTGTTTCATGAGTCTGAATAGAGCTTTATAGATTGGTGTCAGACATATGGGCTAATATTGGACCTATGGACTTGATCTGGACTGGGCAGGGACGTTTTCTCAATATTCAATTGCTCTTGTGTATAAACCTCTTTCCTATACACATATCAGTGTCCTTGAATTTGTTTCTGTAGTCTACCTGGACTAACAGAAATATCTAATTTCAAGGAATTTTAAGTTGACACTGAAAACTTACCTTCCAGAAAAGAGAAATCCGTTGTCTCTCGTGTTCAATGTGCTGGTTCACATACCACACATCTAGCATCCCAATAGGCTCTGTTTCAAATGATAAGAACATATTTTTATACATGTCTACACACAATCTTTAAAAGCCAAAGGATCATCTATTAAATCAGCAGTTCTCAACCTGTGGGTCGCAACCCCTTTGGGGGTCGAACAATTTTTTCACAGGGGTTGCCCGATTCATAACACTATAAAATTACAGTTATGAAGTAGCAACGAAAATAATTTATAGTTGGGGGTCACCACCACATGAGGAACTGTATTAAAGGGTGGTGGCATGAGGAATGTTGAGAACCACTGTATTAAATGGTCTTGAGTAAGGAGAACTAACAGGATAATTCTCTGTGTACTCCAGTATCTTTCTTTACAAAAAGAGAAGAGGAAAAAGGGGGAAATAATTTAACTAAATAAGTATGTAATTCTTGGTTATAAAAGTCAGGGGAAAAAAGCAACCAAAGTTACATTTAAAACAAAAAATTTAAAAGGTAACATGTATTTTTAAAAGAAAGACAATATGCTACTTATATCTATTTTATTAAACAGCAATCCTCCTTTTAAAATAATGATAAAATACAAATTGCAAGCCTTAAGTTCGTCCCCATCCCTGAACCTGCTCTGTTGTATGTAAGTAGTTTTGTGGATCTCTAGTCAATGACTCAAGATCTCTCTCCTCTGTATTAGTAATCTTCCACCTACACATTCGAACAGTGCTTAGACTGCATTCAGCTCTCCACTCTTAAATGATGGACAGGAAATGAGCAAATCGGTCAATATTATCTACTTCATGCTGACACGCATGCTGAATGGCTAGAAGAAGCTCTGCCCTGCTTCCCTAAGCGGGAGATGCCATCTCTGGGTGGGTACTGGAATAATTCAAGGGGCTACAAAAGCAGATACCTATACTTATCCTGAATTATGAGCTATAATACAAAAGTTTTTAATTACCAGGGGGTGGGGCGCTGAGTAATTGTTTTTCTGAAAAGGGGGCAGTAAGCCAAATAAATTTGGGAACATATGTTCTAAGACAATGAGACCATTGCCTAGCGTAACTTTAGAACATTAACCAAACATTAGCTCACTATGACCTGGAATTGATTTGATGGCGGTGTTTTGTTTGTGTGTGTGTGTGTGTGTGTGTGTGTGTGTGTGTGTGTGTGTGTGAGATCAGCTATTAAGAAGTCTGTGCATGCTGCAAGCAGTTAACACTCACAGCTATTAACCAAACGGCTGGTGGTTTGAGTTCACAAGGACGACCCTGGTGAACTACTTCGGAAAAACCAACCATTGAGACCTTATGAGACACTGTTCTATGTGGAGTAGCCACGAGTCAAGATCCACCAGATAACAGCTTTTGTGTATGTGTGTGCAGGCTTACATGCAGGTTTAAATGCTAGACATTTCTTCTTTTATTGTACATTTTAAAATATCACTTTTAAATGTAATCAAAACTCACTGCCATAGAGTAGATTTAACCATACAGAGACTGAGTTAGTTAGTTTATTGTGCCAACCTGGCTGATAAACACATGTGGGGTTAATTGAATGGCAGAGGGATAAATGGCTTGGTGAGCTTCGCCTTTCTAGTTCTCAGGTCTCTTGCTTTGTGGTGGTCGCACCAGGGTGCAGCAGCCTTAGCCTGTTCCCTGCTTCAACTGACAAGGCTCACTTCCTGCAAGACATCCCTGAGGTGAAGCTACATGGACCTACCCCGATGCAGCCCTGGGTGCTGGAGCACCCGTGTGGAGACTCCTGCCAACGCTGAGATGCTTATACATTCACTGACTCGGCTTTCCTCCTGCAGTTGGCATGATTGCGTCTGTTTCGGAGATGGAGGAGGACTTTGTGGATTGGTGTTGGACATATGGGTTAATGTTGGACTTGTGGTCTTGGGCAGCACTGGGTTGGGATGTTTTATTGATGTGCACTTAACCTTTATATAAAACTCTCTCTTATACATGAGTTTCTATGGATTTGTTTCTCTAAAGTACCCAGACTAACACAGAGACCCTGTAGGACAGAGTAGAACTGCCCCTGCAGTTTTCTGAGACTGTAACTCTTTATGGGATTAAAATGCCTGGTCTTTCTCCCTTTAAATGTAAAGTTCCCCAAGATATTAGAAAGGAGGATGAGGCAAAAGAATCTGGGCATGGTAGACATGTGAATGTACAAATAATCAAGAGAAGGAAGTCCAAACCAAGAGGAAAGTAAAAGGAAATAGAGGCGAGAACTAGGAGGCAAAGGGTATTTAAAGAGGTCTAAATACAGGCATGTACATATGTAAATATATTTATATATAATGATGGGAAATATATCTATTGCATATATTTATAGATTTAGTATTAAGGTAGCAGATGAACATTGGGCCTCCACTCAAGTACTCCCTCAATGCAAGAGCACTTTGTTCTATTAAACTGGCATTCCATGATGCTCACCTTCCCAACACAATCGCTGAAGACAAAGGGGGTACATAAACAAATGTAGTGAAGAAACCTGATGGTGCCCAGCTATCAAAAGATATAGCATCTGGGGTCTTAAAGGCTTGAAGGTAAACAAGCGGCCATCTAGCTCAGAA